GCGCAAACTTGGGTCAAATCAGGTATTTGACCACTTTCTCTCTCTTAACTGCGACTGCTTTTTTCCGCGTTTTAGAACAATTTTGAACAGAGCTATGACTTTAGATCTTAGCCCCCCACCTTGGTGCACGCTCCGCCCACTTCAAGGATTCGGCCACATCCCTTCGATTAACTTCAACTACGCTTTGACCGCATACTAGGACGTTTTTGAACAGAGTATGAATTTTAGGTCTTAGTCGCGCCCACTTTGGTGCAAACTATGGCCACTTTGGAGTTTTAATCACAGACCTTCTATACCGTGCGACCACTCTTTTCCAGCATTCTGGAACGTTTTTGAACGGAGTTATGAATTTTTGCTCTTAGCCTGCCTACTTCAGTGGAAGCCCCGCCCACTTCGGAAACTTGACCTCACTTCCTCCATAGCCTATAACTTCTTACTTTCCAAGTTGTACAACGTTTTTGCACATATTCATTAGTTTTTTTTCTAAGATTAACTAAAATACGAATGCCCCATAGTGGGCGGAGCTTCGACATGCTTACTTATGCACAGCAAGGCCTTGCACACTTCGTTTGTTTTCTTTTCTGGCCTCTACGCGCCCACTGCCGTGCATGCCCCGCCCTCTGTGGGCGAAGCTCCACTAGGCTCACATAGGCTCTGTTGGTCTTGTCTTATGTCCAAACCACGACCGTGATCCGACTTCTGCAGATGCTTCTTTACGTAACACTGAATTTCAGTACAAATATACAGAAGCAAGCGCTTTATATGTAGTTAGAGTTCTGCCTGTATTTAATCGACTTCGCTGTAATGCACCAGATGTATGCCAATGCATTTAAGAACCCTCTACTTTAGTTGTATTTCTTATTTTACATTGAGGAGCCGTTTCGAATATAGAAGGGGATGATCGATATTCGGTTAGCTTCGAAAAGGCTAGACGGGTTTTTCTAGATGTACCGAGTTTAGCTTCACGACGGTCAGTTCACCGCATATCTCCATGAGCAATGAAATTTCCATGAGTTCCTGCGTTGTATGAGCGAAATAACACATTCGGATTAAAAACCCCTCTACCTCTATGACGACTTGGGCCTCTACATTGTGTTGTGTTGTGTGTATGTGCTTACCGAGCTTCGGAATGCTGTCCGTGCCTTAGCGTAAGTCAATCTCAGTTTGAATTGGAAGTATAACTTATATCCAGAAACGACCACGATTTCTGCCATGATAGTCCGTCATGCCCTCTGTCGCCAGCACGCCGATTGCTAGGATTTTACTGAATCTAGCCTGGCTATCCACTCGGTTCTTTCGCATATCCATTATGATATGGCAATTTTCGAAATCGGTCACCTTGAGACTTCGGCTTCTAGCCTGAATATCAGCCGCTGAGCAAGTTATCCTCTGAACGGCTGCGATCCTTCTCTTCGCTATGGCATACTATCAAAATCCGGGAGCAGAACATTAGAGGGGTTTTTTACAGCAGATAGCAGTGAATCATTCATGGCAAGTGTTTAGTCTGGTTATCAATTCGTTAAACACGTGCGTGACAATGGAGACCCTTTGATGAAGCTTTTGTGTGCCGCTATACAAACAAGAATACATTTCCAGACGACACTTTGAAGTTCATATCATATTCGCCATGTTGTTGTTACCATGTGACTGGTTTTTGAGTTCTTTTTTTGTTCAATGAAGCCGTTTCCAGATCAAAAAAATTGCTTTCGTATTGATGCGAAGGTGAAATACCTATGATTTCGCGCGTAGAACGTGATGCCCCTTCGGTGTTTTTCTCCCTATTACTTCTTCAATAGAGAGTATTGAAGTACTGGGAGTACTACGCAGTCAACTCGGAATATTATAGTATTTGAGCCCTAATTTNTTTGATCATACTTTTACTTCAAAAGAGTTTTTACGAAAATCGTTTGGTGCAGGTATGAAATTCATTTTCGGGGGAGTAGTTGTTCGAAACCAGATCAACGCGTCTCTCCATGTACCAGAGGTGCTAGTGAGCTCGATTTTCGGGTTGCTCATTTCTTCCTTCACTTGGCGGTACCGTTATGTGTAAAAGTGATCATGCGAATGTTTTGGGAAGTAATTTCTGCTCCGAATAGGTGTTGTGAGAGATGGCGTTCGATAATTGCTTTGTGTTCGTTATTTAAGGGCCCGCATGCATATGAGAGAGGGTAGATGCACGGTGAGCATTATTCCAACCATACGCTTAATCGTGAGGTAGACATCGCCATTCTATCTCAATTTCCTCCTTCCCTTCGTCAGACATGTCGGGGATTGCATCAGGGTTGTCAACATAACTTTCAGTTATGCTCTGTATGTTTGAAGCGATCCCAGACCTCTGAATTCTCTCCAAACGACTCATCTTTGAAGGTGTCACAGAGGGTTAAAGTATCTTACTGAGGTATACAGGCTTTATCCGATATATGGCGGGCCAACTTCATGTTTGGAAAATTCCTAGAGATAGAAGCGTATACGTCATCTGAGCTACCGCTAAGCGCTCCTGTTAATTTTTTGCCTGTGTCTAAGGCTTTTTTGAGTCGGATTCTCGTCGAACTCCAATCAGACCTTTTCGAAGGCCTGAACGGCCGACGATAATCTGAGCGAAAAATTGGACGAGAATTGCATGACTTATCAGGAGTCAGATCGATCATGCACCTGTTACTTCAGAGGAGCGTGCTTCTAGAGATCGCGCTGGAAGGGAACGTAAGTACGGTTCGCTTGAATGATCACTGGCTCCTGTTGCTGGGTTGACGTGAAGAGTGTTCATGTCATGATCGCCTGTGAAATGTAAAAGGAGACTTGCGAATGAATATATGCGAATGACTAAAATGAAAATGTAGCTTTACGGGACAGCAAATTAATGAAATATTTCTAGTTAGCTTCAATATCTATGGAGATAGAGAGTAAAAGAGAAAGAATAAGAACAAAGGAAACCAATACATGATTCGTTTCACCTCTTACTCAAACAAATCATGTTTTTCGCTAACCCCTGAGGATTTTCAGTGAGTGGGGTTAGCGAAGAATGGAGTAGGTAGTAGCAAGATGGAATAGTTATACGTATATGTAAACCAGATTAAAATGAAAATCCAGAATGGGAAAAAGGTATCAAAAAGAATATAGGAGTGAGATAAGAACAACTGTAAGTAGAATAGTTGGTGTAATCGTAGCCTAAAATTATCTAATGTGAAGAATACGGTATAAATATTAGCAATGTGTGTCCATGTGAATACACAGTTAGATTAGAGCGTACTATTTATCCATTAGCTATTATCTTAAAGCTCCTCTATGAAGTTAGAGATAGTATTATGTGAAGTTAAGATCTAGTATGTAATGAATTATTTCATTTACAAACTTTTTTATAGTTTTATAATCATTATTAATTGCATATTTATAAGAGATAAATCTATTTTTGTACACATTCTTCTTGGAGATATTAGATGTAGCATGAGGAAATCTGACTACCTTAAATTTAAAGTCGTCACTTTTGTTATACATTTTTGTATTAATTTTATTGTTATTTGTTGTGACCAGGCGGCTACGCACGCTATTGCGTGCGCTGAGGGCTCTAGCCATAAGCGACGTAGCCACATGAGCTTTTGATTTTCATTATATACCTCTGTCATCTAAGCCTCCCTTCTCTAACACTTCTCTAGCGGCCATCATTATTTTTGGGGTGTGAAATGGGGTTCAGTGTGGTAAAAAAAGTTCCTTCGGGTATTTGTAGGAATTTACACGCTTCCACAGGGTATGCACCTGTTGGCCGGAGTTACTGTAGAAATTATTTTATGAGGTCTGAAATTAATGTAGTGCATTTGCTCTTGTGTAGAAGGGGCCACTGTGTGTCGAACCATGGATACTAACTTTTTAAGAAACTTCAGCCTAATTTTTGAGAGAGTTCAGTGATATCCCCTAGTTGTACAGCTATATGATGAGGGTTAGTGTGAAGGATAGCTGTATAAATTTTTGACCTCAGCCCCACCCCATCTTTGCAAACCCCACCCACTTCAGACTTCAAACCACATTTCTTTTATTATCTCTAGACACCTTTTTCCCTCGTTATAAAACGCATCTGAAGAGACTAAATAACTTTGAAGTAAGCCCGCCCACTTCAGTGCCAACTCCGCCCACATCTGGGATTTGGCCACATTTGTTCTACTACACCTTATCACTTTTTTCCCGCATCCCAGAACGTTTCTGAGTAGAATTATAATTTTCGACTTAAGCCCCGCCCACTTCTGGGATTTGGTCACCTTTGTTCTTTTACACCATGACACCCTTTTGCCGCATCCCAGAACGTTTCTGAGTAGAGTTTTAATTTTTGTTCAAGTCCCGCCCACATTAGTGCCAACCCCGCCCACTCCTAGGATTTGACCACATTTGTTCTTTTACACTTTAACACCTTTTTACCGCATCCCAGGACGTTTCTGAACAGAGTAATCAATTTTTGGTCTAGGCCTCGCGCACTTTAGTGCCAACCCCGCCCACTTCTAGGATTTGACCACATTTGTTCTTTTACACCTTAACATCTTTTTGCCGCATTCCAGAACGTTTCCAAGCAAAGTTGCATTCATTTTTGAAGTCTTTTCGTCACAACACACGCCCCGCCCATCGTGGGCGAGGCTTCGCTGAGCTCACGCACGCCCAACACGTATAAGGCCCTGCTCACTCTTGTTTTTTCCCTGGCCTCTGCGCCTCAATTGAATCGAGTTATGAATACATCTGAAAAGTACCGCCCATTTTGAGGAAGCTCCGCCCACAGCACGTGGATCTCCTACGTCTGGTTTGTTGACCCATTCCTCACCTTTGAACAATTTTTCCCGTGTCTGGGCCTTTTTTGAAACCAAAATAAGACAATTGGCTTTCGCACCGCCCATTCCGGCACTTGCCCCGCTCCCCGTGGGCGGAGCAAGTGCCGGAATGCAAATGCTCATATGTGCTCTGTTATCTTCGTCCTATGCTTCATTCCTTCCGAACTTGTCCCGGCCTCTAAAGTTGTTTCTTGGTGATGCCGAAATTTGCGACGATAAACAGATAAACAGACAGTCAAACGGACAAACAGGCACACCAAACTTGTGGTTTATATAGTAAGGATTGCCAAGTCTAGGTAGTTGCTAGCAGTATCACTTATGTGTTATTTGTAATAATAGTGTATTTTTATATACCTTAACCAGTTCTGTGTTTATTTTGTTATTTATTTATTTATTCATGCGTGCCATTTCACGCGCCTCCAAAAAAGGACACTTAAAGAGTGAAAGAATGTGATGTGTGAAATGTCGTACTATCTC